TTAGTGCAGCTCATTATACATCCAGTGAAGGGCGATGTGGTATAGCATAACAACTGTGTAGGCCATTAAGGCTACGGGTAGTATATTACCCAAATGTCATCAGTAATGCGTTACATTACTTCGTTACAGCAAAAAGTAATACATTACTGTAACTCCGTTATTTTTGTAACGCGTTACACCCAACACTGGTGCTTAATGATGCAGTTTTTGTTAATGTGACACTGGAAGTCAAACTTTTACACTTTGTAAATGTGTGTGTTTTGTTTCTGTATGTCAGTTTTACAAAAAAAGATCTTCAGATAGCTAAACATCTTAAACGTAGTCAAATCTGCTTTCTATGGTGTTTATCAAAGACACTGTTAGCTATCGGTTGAATCAAGACAAATGTGTGTTGATCAAAACAAGATGCATGTAGAAGGAATATCAAGACATATAAACGGTGAACAAAAAGAGAGAATTAATGATATTCCCTGTGTGGTTTCAGCAGTCTAAACTAGCCATCTGCTGCTGGCCTCTGTAGGACACTCACTTGGCATTACAAACGACATAAGGGAATCTTTAAAAAGGCCCATCATCCATTTGCCTGTGTGTTTCCAAACCGACTGACCCATAATAGGTGCTGAGAGCCAGAGCTGCTGTACTGAATGACACACAGATGAGGGTTGGTTTGGCCTGAAGGAACCCAGATCAATTAGAAGCAGAGATTAATGGCGAAGTAATGCAACGATACTGTAGCAGCGTGACTTGAAATGACCGCAGCACTGATGGAGGTTTTCTGCCATGTAACTGTCAAAGTCTGCTTTCTTTTTCCATTAACCCGTCTTTAAACCCTGCCATAGCCTGTGTTACCCTTTCGTCCTTTCTGTCTTCTTCTGGTAATGCAATATTCACTCTCCTGAAAGCTCTGTTTTTGGGCTCCGGAGAAAGATATCTAGCTCTTGGTTCTTCTTAATCTAAAGTAAAGCAACTCTGCCTGTAAAAGAAGACTTTGGTGGGGATTATTCATGCTAATGTGTATCCTATTTTGGACAAAATCTGCCTTAATCTAGATGTCCCTTTGTCACTCTCTCAGCCTTCTATTACTAATTAAAATAACCGCTGTCGAAGTCTGTTTTCTTTGCCATTAACCCGTCTTATCCCTGCCATAGCCTGTGTTACCTTTACGTTGTTTTCTGTCCTCTAGACATTTCTGGGATTGGGGAAATCCTTAAAGCTCTGTTTTTTTACTCCAGAGAAAGATATCTGGTTCTTATGGTTCTTAAACTTAACCCTATTTTCACTGAGTAATCTAAAGTAACTCTTGTGTATTTCATGCTAATGCGTATAGCCTATTTTGGACAAATTCTGCCTTGATCTAGATTTTGTTTTGCCACTCTCTCAGCCTTTTACTACCAGGTTATTAAATCTGAAAATGGATCCTTCTGCTCTCCTCGAATGTCACACAGATGCCAGTGCAGGAACTCAGATCAATTAGAAGCAGAGATTAATGGCGAGCCGTGCTGATGATGAAGCGTCAGGCCGGTGGAGATGATATTAATGTTTGTCCTCTCGTCTGGCTGCTGTGCAAACCTCCAACAGATGGAGCCCAGATGAGACTGCTGGGCTTTTCAAGTCTCCCGGAAACCCTACACTCTATTAGGGCCTCAAACGCAGCACAATATATACGGAACAGTGACTTTTCTAAGTTTGCTAGGTTTTGTTGAAAGAATCACTGACACAGTTGCATGGCTTTAGCGATGGCAATGTTTGCTAAAATATCTCAGAAACTTTTGGAATCATTGCCAAGAAGTTCTCTACATTAGTCCACTGCGAAAAGCGTTTGATTTGGTCAGATTCTCAATTTCTCTTCCAGATTTACTGTTACATATTGTTTAATACATGTCTGAATTACATCTTTTTGCCTCACCATTCATTTATGTTTCCTTTAAGCTTCGTTCATGACCTCATTCTTGAGTTTCTTCCTCTTCTCTGACACATTATCCCAAAGAAAATGGTATTCAGAATACCTTTCATTAAATCCTGACATGTTTGAAACTATAAAGCAAGAACATATCCTGCTTACACCGTCATGGCAATGTCATGGTGTGTTTATAGATTATATCTTGATCTATGTAGAGCACTTAAATGCTGCATCGCAATTCCACTCAAACGCTCCATCAGTGCACTGACAGCCATGTCAATGAAACAGTCAAATCAAACTGGACAAGAGCCAAAAGCGCAAATAGCTGCTCTGAACAAGATCCATGACACACTTTAAAAACCTGACACCTAGAAATGTAAGGCAGCGGGAAAGAGTAGACATCAACACGGTGAGTTTCTTGATGTCATTATGAAATCCCTGCTGACAGATCCTGCATCTCTGCATTCATGTAAGAGTTTGACACCGTTTGTTTTTCCCTCACGTCCTTTGCTGAGGTTGCTAGAAGCTAAACACACACAAGAATCTTGCTCCAACATGAGGAACGTCAGGCGGGGGAATCAGAAGAGGTCCATTCAGCAG